ACGAGGACCTCCTGCTCATGCAGGCGCCGCGCATCGAGTTCTTCCTGGCCGGGCCGCCGGAGGGCTTGCGTAAGGAGCACGGCCCTCGCCAGGGAGCTCGGCTTCACCGAGTTGATCCGCGAGGCCTGACCTGAGGAGCGGCCCGCCCCAGCCGCGCCTTCTCTTGGCTGTCCGATTGTTTGGCCTCGCGCCGCGGACGACTCGCGCGTGTCGCTGGGGCCCTCTCGGGGCGATCAGCGCGCGTCGCGCAAACTCCGCGCTGCGCTCTGCCCAGCGCCTCGCCCGCCCTTCACCGCTTTTCCAGCGGCCAGAGCCATGCGCGCTATCAGTTAGAGCACTGTCTGCCCGCACAGCGGACGAACCGCGCGCGTCACTGTGACCCCTTCGGGGCGACCTGCGCGCGTCGCGAGGGCTCCGCGTTGCGCTGCGCCCGCAGCCTTGGACTTTGGAGTGCGCGGGCAAAAAGGAAAGAAAAAAAGGGGAGGAAGCAGGCGCGATCCTCGTGTGGAGCGTGCCGACATGGGCGTCGCGGCGCGCGGGCGCTGCCGTCGGGGTTCCTGGGGAAGCTCCCTGCGGAGGCTACGTTCAGTGTCGCGAGTTTTCAGAGTCAGGCAGACCCCAACCATTCACATTCGCGTACATGTACACTAGGCGTATCCATGCTCGCAGTCATGCAAATAGAATTAATCGCACGCTAACTCATTCATAATCAGACCCTCTCGCGCTCAGACTCACCCGCGCTCAAGCTTTCATACTCAGGCCGATCGTCTTCCGTTCGTGTCGTGTACCCGGCCGCACATGTCGGCACCCCCCTCACACGGTTCGTGGCCCCATAGGGCTCGCCACCGAAGAAGATGTTCACAATAGCGGTGCTCACAGCTGCATATGGTTGGGCCCTTCGCCAGTATAATGTGTTCTATGTTTTTGTTTTCTCGCTGTGTTGACTTCCCGACGCTCCAAGACCGCCGCAGAGGCTCCCTAGACCGCTCCAAGACGGCCCAGGAGCCTCCAACAGAGCCCCTAGACGGCCGAAGAGAGCCACAAGACTGCCCCCAGACACGCCCACGACGGCCGAAGAGGGCCCGAACAAGGCCGCAGGAGCCCTCGGACAGCCGTCCTGGCGGCCCCTGACGTTCTCGACACGCTCCCAAGACCGCCTGCAGGTGTCTCCAGGGGCCCACGATGCGTCTGAAACTGCCCAGGAAGCCTCCGAAGACGCCCCAAGAGGCTTGAAGATGCCGCCGAGGAGCGGCCCGAGAGGCCGAAATCGGTGATATTCATTTGTTTTTTTTCTATGTTTATTGCTTCCTCGCTGTTTCGGCTTTCCGACGCTCCTAGACCGGCCCAGAGGCTCCCCAGACCGCTCCAAGACAGCCCGAGAGACCCCCAAGAGAGGCCAAAGACAGCCCAAGAGAGCCTTAAGACTGTCCCCATGCCCGCCCAAGACAGCCCAGGAGAGCCCCAAGAAGGCGCCAAGAGCGGCCCAAGAGAGGGAACACGCACCGAACAGTCGAGCTCTCCGCCCAAAGATGCCCCCAGGAAGCCCCCAGAGGCCCCGAAGACAGCCCAGAAGGTCACCAAGAAGCGCCCAAAAGGCCCAAAAGAGGCCTCCAGAGGCCTCAAAACTGCTTCCGAGAGGCTTCAAAACTGCCTACCGAGGTCTCCCAAACATGCTCCGGAAACGCGCTGCCGGAGCACGTTGCCGACCCTCCTTCCAACGTGTGCATGTATGAACGTATCTATGTGTTTGTTTCCCGTGTGTATTCATGCATGCATCCATGTATGCATGTATGGATGTATGTGTGTGTGCATGTACAGATACACACATATATATATATAGATATGTACATATATGTACACATATATATATATATATATACACATGTATATATATATATATATATATGGATACAAGCATACATACATGCATACAGATAACGTCTTTGGCCTGGTTGCGTGATTGGCACTTCCTGAACTCATGTTCGCACGATCTGCGGGCCTTCCATACGTGCAGCTGTGACCTTGTCCAAGGCTGGGGTTGGCTAGAACCTAAGCGTGCGCGAAGCGCGCGCGAAGGTTCTAGTATATATATACATATATATATATATACATATATATACATATACATATATACATATATATATGTATATGTGTATATATATATGCACACTAGAACCATCGCGCGCGCTTCGCGCGCGCTCCAATTCTAGCTAGGCTGGATGGTCCAACTCTTGGGGATATCTAATTCATGATACTTCTTCTCCAGGGCTTCCAAGAACCACGACGACGGCCCAAGCGGCTTCCAAGACATCCTACGGTCCACCCACGGCGGCCTAAGACAAGCACAACATGCACTTCGGGTGCTCATTCATTCGCCGCGGCTGACGTAGCTGGAGGAAGGAGGAGAAGGGGAGATGAAGGTGTTCCCTTGGGAACAGGGAGGATGAGGAGGAGCTGGAGAGGGTGGAGGAGGCTGCAGAGGAGGAGAACCAAGATGAGGAGGAAGAGGAGGAGGAGGAGGAGGAGGAGAAGGAAGGCATCACATACTAATATACATTGTTGTTGCAAGCGTAGCGAAGCTGCCAGGCGAACTTGAAAAAAGAGAAATGTTGGAATTCCTGTTTTTCAAATGCCCTCGGGGCCTGTCTCGTGGCTCTTTGGGCCTCGTTGGGGCTTCTTGGGAACCTCTTGAGGCCTCGTGGGGGTCTCCTGGGGCGAAGATCTCAAGTTCTCGATTCACGTTCCCGATCCTGGGCCGCGGTTGGGGACCTCTCGGGCCGTCTTGGACGTCTCTTCGGCCGTTTTGGAGACGTCATCGTTCCTTCTTGGGGCGCTTTTGACACCTATTGGGCCGTCGTGGGGCGATTCTCGGGGCCTCTTGGGGGACCTTGCAGCGCCGAGAAGCGGAACAGGCGGAAACGCCACAATTGCTCAAACACCCAAGGAACATCAATGTGTTTTGTCTCTTCGAGCTCTCTTGTGAACCCTCTTGGAGACCTCTTGGATATCTTGGGGGCCTCGTCTGGAGGCAATCTTGGACCGTCTTGGACCGTCTAGTAGCCTTCGGCCCAAGCCGCCACCATGTCTGGGTTCTGGGTTAAGTGCCTCCTGGAAATTCGTTTGGACATCGTGGGAGTCCTCTCGGGGACCTCTCGTAGGCAATTTTGGAAGCCCCTTGGGGACCGTATGGGAACCTCTTTTTCTACCTCTCGGGGGCCTGATGGGGCCTCTAGGGGACCTCTTAGGCTCTCTTGGGAGCCTCTTGGGGCCTCGAGGGGGCCTCTTTAGGCGGAGAGATCGAATTGTCAGTTCATGCTCCCCATCGTGGGCCCCTCTTGTGGCCATCTTGGGGCCCTCTTGGGCGATCTTGGGCGCTTCTTGGGCCGTTTTGAAGCACTGTCTTGGGGCCTCTTGTGGCAGTCTTGGGGGCCTCTGGGGCCATCTTGGAGCGTCGGAAGCCCATAACGCGAGAACGCGAAAAACATTGAAAAACACATGGGGGACCACTGACTTTGGGCACTCTTGGGGGTCCTCTTCGAGCGCTCTTAGAGCTTCTTTGGGGCCTCTTGGGCCGACTTAGAGCCATCTTGGGCGTCTTGGAGCGCTATTGGGCTGTCTTGGAGGCCTCTTGGACCCTATGAGGCGCTTTCTGGGGCCCTCTGGCCTCTCCGGGCCGCCTCTGGGAAACGAATCGGGAGGGTATTCAAAACTATTCCCAAATTGTTGCGGAGTGGCTGGCCCCAGGCCGGGTAAGGGGGTCTTGCTCTCTCCTCTTCTCTCCATATGTGTATACCTATACATCTATATATATACACCTATATAAGAACAATGTGTGGATGTGTGCATGCATGTACGTATGCATGCATGCATGCATGCATGCATGCATGCATGCATGCATGCATGTATGTATGGATGGATGGATGTATGGATGTATACACGCATGCATGCATGTATGTATGCATGCATGCATGCTAGCATGTATGTATACGTGTACTGATGTGTTTGCGTGTGTTTGTATATATATATGTTTATGCATGCATACATGTATGTATGTATGTATGTATGAATGTATGTATGTATGTATGTACCGACGTGTGAAATGCATGCAGGTATGTATCTATGTACATACGTACTTACGTATGCATCAATGTGTGTATGTATGTATGTATGCCTGCATGAATGTAGGTGTGTAGGTACGTGTGTATGCCTGTATGTATATATGTTTGTACGAATGGATGTACGAGCGCGTATGTGTATACACGTGTATATATATACATACATACATACATACACATATATACATATATATGTACACAAATTACACCCATCTTACAGTTGCCCAGGCGGTGTACTCAGAAAGCGCTGGCACCCGAGCATACAGCATCAGATGTTCGAGCGCGCGCGCGTCGCCCCTAGGTGCCCGACGCACGGATGCGGTCGGGATCGCTTGCTTAGCGCGTCGCGGCGGAGGCCCTGGCGACACGCTGTACTCTACGAGCGGATAGCGTGTCGCCCCGTTCCGCGGGGCAGGAGGCTGGGAAAGGCTGGGGGCGTTGGCGCTTGGGAGCGGAGGAGTGGTTAGCGAGGCGTGTCGCGCCGAAGCGCGGTGAGCAAGAACCAATGCCGCGACACGCTGAGCCGAAATTCCTGACCGAAAATCTGGCCTCCCACTGGCTTCCGCCGGAGGGGCCGCCGCCGACATGATGCCGCCCGATCTCCGCCAGCTCCCGCCGAGGGCGAGGCGCACCGAGGGCGAGGCCCTTACTTTTTCGGGGAACAGGCCGTGACGTCAACATCAAAACTCGGAGGTGCCGCGCGGATCTCTCGGATCAGCGCTGGACCCCCCCTCCCTGGCGCGCGGAGCGCCAGAGGCGCCGCCAGGGGGCTCCATCGCCGATCCTAGAAATCCGCTCGGACCTCCGAGTTCTTGTGCTTGTATCACTGTTCGCTCCCCCGATGTCTGCAACGCGCCGCATGGTATAAACATGTCTGCGTAATGCCGGTCCTGCTCCTCCTCCCGCTTTCTCTCCTCGCTGTTCTTGTCCTTCGAAGACGGGCGGCCCGTGTCGAGGCTCGCTGGCACGCGGCAGTTCGCCTTCAGGAACTCCTTGTCAGCGAGGAGCCGCCTCGCCTCGTGGTATTCCTTGTCGGGGGGGGGGGAGAGTGCAAAAACGTGCAGTACAGTGACCACCTCCCGCGCGAAGGTGCCGCCGCGATGCGGCCGCGGCGGCAACCGCTGCGGCCTCGACGGTGGCCGCCGCTGCGGCCGCGGCGGCGGCCGCGGCAGCGCGGCACCTGCCGCGCGGAAGGTGCGGAAGGTTCAGGTCGAGGAATGTGTGCCATGAGCATGCACGAGACCCTTCGCCGAAGGCCCAAGGCCCCGGTGGAGGCACCCTGGAAGAACAGCATCTCACGGTGGAGAGCCCCGACACGAAGGACATGGGGGTGCCCCTCCAAAGCCGAATGTGGGCATCCAGCCGGGCCCGTTCCTTCGAGAGAGCGTGATCCACCGCCGCTCTGCTGTGGAAAATTCTGAACGCTTCGCGTATAACCCCACCAGCCCATTCAGAAACGATGCCCAGAGGAAGTGCCTCGATCAGGGAAGTGGGCAGCACACAGAGGAAGGGTCCCCCAGAAGAGGCCTCTTGGAGCGTCTTGGGGGCCTCTTTGCGGTCCCAGGCGCCTCTTAGAGCGTCTTGGGTGCCTCGGAGAGCTTCTTGGGGCCTCTTGGGGGTCTCTTGGGAGCCTCTTGGAGGCCTCTGGGGCGCTTGTTGGGGCCTGCCTGGGCCTCCTGGGCGCCTCCTGGGGCCCTCTTGAAGCGCTCTTGGAACCCTCTTGGAGTCATCGTGAAACCTCGGATGACCATCGGAAGCGGAAAGGCGAGAACGCCAAACAACAGTGACGTTCCTAAGGTTTTGGAAAGATTTCGGCCTCTTCGGGGCCTCCTGGGGGAGCTCTTTGGCTACTTGAAGCTGTCTTGACGCGGTTTTGGGGCCTCTTGGAGCATGGTGGGAGCCATCTTGAGACATCTTGGGATATCTCCAGCCATCTTGGAGGTCATGTTGGGCTCCCCCAGGCGCTCTTGGAGTCATCTGAAGCAGTGCCCCCCCCAGGAGGCCCAAATGTGGCTAAAACCTTAGTAGAATCAATGATTTTGGCAATCTCGCCGAGGCCTCTTGGAGCGTATCGGGTGCCTCTGGGGAGCCTCTGGGGGGTCTCTTGGGAGCCTCTTGGGGTCATCCTGGGGGCCTCTTGGGGGCTTCTTGGGGCCAGATGGGGCCATCTTGGGGCCATCTCGGGGCCTCTTGGGGCCTCCTGGGCGCCTCTTGGGGCCATCTTGGAAGAGATCGATCACAGGAGGGGGGGAGGGGGAGGGGGGGGAGGGGGGGGGCAAAATTACACCCCCCTGAGGCGCCCAAAATGGGCCCGAAACTATAATAAAAAACACTGATTTTGGCTTCCTCGCCGAGGCCATCTTGGACGCTCAAATGCGTCGAGGACCCCCCCCGTCGAGGTCCAGGGGAGGGGGTAAGGGGAGGGGTCAAGACTCCCTCCCCGCCCGCAAGCCGTCTCGCTCACTCCCATCCGCCCTCCCGACACATACGTAGCACCCGAATCTGGGCCGAGCCTCAGCATATTCAGCAGTTGTCTTTGGATGGGCAGCTTCTGGGGGCCAATCCGCCGCCGCCGCCGCCGCCGCAGCCGCCGCCGCGCAACCCACCGCCGACGCCGCCGCCGCCGCCCCCGCTGCCAAATCGCCACCGCCGCAGCCGCTGCCGCCGCAGCCGCTGCCGCCACCGCCACCGCCGCTGCCACCGCCGCCTCTGCCGCCGCCGCTGCCGCCGCCGCCGCCTCCGCCGCCGCCGCCCCCGCCCCCGCCGCCGCCGCCGCCGCCGCCGCCGCTACAGCCGCCGCAGCCGCCGCAGCCGCCGCCGCCGCCGCCGCCAACTGTACTCTGTATTGTGTTTTGATCGGGATGGTGGGGGGAGGCCGCATCGGGTTGGCTGCACATGCTCCGAATTTGGAAGCAGAGTGTGTTTTGTATGGTTTGTTGCAAGGGATGGTGGGGGGGGCTCATGGTTCCTGGTTGGCTACCAGTCGCCTGGGGGAGGGTGGAGGGGTTGTTGATTTTTGTTTGTGCAATTGTGTTCTAGAGCTCGGACCTCTTTATTTTCGCTCGTCGTCGTCCCCCTGGTCCGGTCCTGGCCCTCCTGGACCCAACCTCACCCCCTGGTCCTGGCCCCAGCCCCCCTCGCACCGCTGGCCCTGGCCCTGGACCCAGCCTCCCTCCCCCCGGCCCTGGCCCCAGCCCCCATCGCCCTGGGCCTTGTTTTTTCCTTTCGTCGTCGACCCTGGTCCGGTCCTGGCCCTGGACCCAACCTCCCCACCGGCCCTGGCCCCAGCCCCCCCTCGCCCTGGCGTCGTCGTCCCCCTGGCTCTGGCCTGCTTCCCCTGGCCCCCTCGCCCCCGTCCTCCTGCCCTGGCTCTGAACCCAGCCTCCCTCCTTGGCTCAGCCCCCCTCGCCCTGGACCGTTCATTTTCGTGGTTCGTCGTCGTCCCCCCGGCTCTGGCCTGCTTCCCCTGGCCCCCTCGCCCACGTCCTCCTGCCCTGGCTCTGAACCCAGCCTCCCTCCTTGGCTCTGGCGGCCGCACCTTGCCCCAGACCCTTTATTTTCGTAGTTCGTCGTCGTCCCCCTGGCTCTGGCCTGCTTCCCCTGGCCCCCTCGCCCCCGTCCTCCTGCCCTGGCCCTGAACCCAGCCTCCCTCCTTGGCTCTGGCGCCCCCTGGCCCTGGCCCCAGCCCCCCCCCACCCCGGCCCTTCTATTTTCGTGGTTCGTGGTTTGTCGTCGTCCCCCTGGCTGTGGCCCGCTTCCCCTCGCCCCCGTCCCCCTGGCTGTAGCCCGCTCCGCCTCGCCCCAACCCAGACCTCTGGCCTCTGGTCCGAGCCCCAGCCCTCTGGCCCTGGCTGGACTCAGCTTGTTTCCTGGCCTTGACTCCGCTCGCCCCCTGGCCTTCGCCCCAGCCCTCCTCGCCCCAGACTGTGTATTTTCATGGTTCTAACCCGGACCTCTGGCCCCTGGTCCGAGCTTCAGTCCCCCTACCCTGGCCCTGGGCCCCCACTCGCCCCGACCCTGGCCTTGGCCCCAGCCCTCCTCCCCCGGGACCCTTTATTTTCGTGGTTCCGTCCCCCTGGCTCTCTCCCCACATGCCCCTCCTCCTCTTTCTCCTCAAATGTGCAAGAGCCAGGGCACGCGTGCCACTTGTTAATAGGGAGCAGTGATAACCCCCCCCCCGAGGGGGAAGAAGGAGGGGCAAAAGAGGAAACACTCTAGACCACCTACGCCCAAAGGGCTGGTGAGATTCTCCCACCCTTCCTCCGGAACCCGGGAGTCCCCCCCCTCCGAAAATCCGCCCGCCCCCCCCCGCTGATCGAACCCCTCCCGCCCCACCTCCCCCAGCAAAACCCCTTCTCCCCAGCACACCGCCACCCCCCCTCGGCCCCTCTGGAAAACCGGGGGGGGGGAGTCACTACCGGCTCGAAGCCCCTCCTCCCCCCTCGCAAAACCAAGGGGGGTCACTACCGCTTCGAGCCCCCCCCGCGCCCTCCCCCCCATATCGCCGCCGGCAAACAACTCCCGGGTCCCCACCACTGTCCTCACCACCGCCCTTACCACTGTTGCCACCACCACCGTCCCTACTCCCACTGTCCCCACTTCCCCACCAGTGTCTCACTGTCCCCACTGTTCCCACCACTTTCCTCACTGTCCCCACCACGGTTCGAACCACCCCCCTCCCTCGCCGATAGCAAACGATTCCCCATCCTTCCCACTCCGGACAGTGAGACAGCGGTGGGGAAAGTGGGACAGTGGGGACAGTGGAACAGTGGTGGGGACATTGGGGACAGTGGGACAGTGGTGCGGACAGCGGGGACAGCGGGGAGAGTGGGACAGTGGTGGGGACAGTGGTGAGGACAGTGGTGGGGACAGTGGTGGGGACAGTGGCGGGGACAGTGGGGACAGTGCGACAACGGTGGGGGCACTGGCGGGGACAGTGGGACAGTGGTGGGGACAGTGGGGACAGCGGGACAGTGGCGGGGACAGTGGGGACAGTGGACGGTGGTGGTGGGGACAGTGGTGGGGGGCCAGTGGGGACAGTGGTGGGGAGAATGGGGACAGTGGAACAGTTGTGGGGCCGGTGGCGGTGGGGACACTGTTGGGGGCGGTGGTGAGGACGGTGGTGGGACAATGGGACAGTGGTACACAATGGGGACAGTGGTGGGGACAGTGGGGACAGTGGTGGGGACAGTGGGGAGAGAGGGACAGCACAGTGGGACAGCGGCGGGGACAGTGGGGACAGTGCGACAGTGGTGGGGGCATTGGGGACAGTGGGACAGTGGTGGGGGCAGTGGGGAAAGTGGGATCGTGGTGGGGACAGTGGTGGGGACAGTGGAGACAGTGCGACAGTGGTGGGGGCACTGGTGGGGACAGTGAGGAAAGTGGTAGGGACAGTGGGGACAGTGACACACTTGTGGGGAAGTGGGGAAAGTGGGAGTAGTGACCCCCCCTCTTTTTGATGATGGACCAGGGAAGGGGAGGTGGACCCCCCAGTGCCCCCGGCGGTTTTCGAAAGGAGGGGGGATGGGTTGGAACCCCCCAGTGACCCCCCCAGTTTTCTGCCAGCAACGGCAGAACACGCTCTTCCGTTCCTTAACCTTGAGACGTCTAGGGTTCGCTTTGGACTGTTCCCCCCAACAAAAACTGGAATCCTTCTGGGAGGGTTTCGAAGGATTTCGGAAGGGTTTCGGCCATTCTGGAGAAGAATTACTCCGACGGAAGGACCCCACATGAGAATCCTCTGGGCGAATCTGGAAAAAAGCCCTCACCGTCGTCCTCGTGGTTGGTGAGGCGTCCTAGCTGTCTCTTCTGCGTATATTTCTGTTCGCCCTGGCGCGGGCCCTCCCCCCGCTCCCTACGTTGCCCCCGACCTCGCCCTCCTGTTTTGGCTCCGGACATTCAGAAAGTGGCCCGGGAGTTGTGTTTTGGCAACACGAAGAACACGAAGTGGCCTACGGTTGGCTCCGGGCACTCAAAATGTGGCCCGGGAATGGTGTTCTGGGAGCACGAAGAACACGAAGTGGCCTACAGTTGGCTCCGGGCATTGAAAATGTGGCCTGGGAATGGCGTTCTGGCAGCGCGAGAGCCCAACAATGGAAACAGTTACAAGAATTGGATGACCCGCTCGGATTAATAACATGATCCGCGGGCCCCATCGAGAGGGGGCTCCCGCTTCAGACTTCCTCGCAATTCACTCACAAATGTGGCCTGGGAATGGCGTTCTGGCAGCGCGAGAGCCCCAAAGTGGCGACAGTTACAAGAATTGGATGACCCGCTCGGATTAGTAACGTAATCCGCGGGCCCCATAGGGAGGGGGCTCCCGCCTGAGACTTCCTCATAATTCACTCACAGACGACTCACTCACTCACTCATCATCCCTCACTCACTCACTCACTCACTCACTCACTCACTCACTCACTCACTCACTCACTCACTCACTCACTTACTCTCATTTACTCACTCACTCACTCACTCACTCACCCACTGACTCATCAGCACTCACATATGATGATGATGAGTGTGCGCATGAGAGAGTGTGATGGTGATGGTGATGGTGATGGTGATGGTGATGGTGATGGTGATGATGATGATGATGATGATGATGATGATGATGATGATGGTGGGTTCCTGTTCCTGCGCGGGGTGTCCAGAGAAAACAAGAACCCCACTTTGGATGTGGGGAAAAACGAATCCCTAGCGACACCTGGACTTTCCAACAGGATACCATCCCTCCGCGTGCCCCCAGTGCCCCCTGGCCTTGCTGGCGGCCTGCGACATGTTCTTGCGCTGGACCCTTCCAGACGAGATGAGTTGCACGATGTGCGCTATGAACTTGTCCACGCCTCTAGACAGCTGTTCTTTCATGAAATAGAAGAGCAAACAACTGCATAATCATTACTTGTCGGCGGTCAGCGCGGAACTCATGATGACAATTGCCATCTTCCCAACTGATGGGCAGGGTCCTTCACCATGCAAGCACGTTCCGAAGGGAAGCAGGAGGACGAGAGAGAGGAGGACACGGAGAGCAGACGCACGTCCAGCAGTAAAGAATAGCTCACTGGCAAACAAGCCGCCTCTGGCCAGCTGGTGGTAGAACATCTGAAGGTCGGCAGGCTTCTCCACCTTCACGCAGTCTTCGAACATGATGAGGGTCCCGCCCACGCGGTTCGCCCACCTAGGTTAAGAGAAGACTGCGTAAAGAACTTTCGGAACTCCGCGCGGATTTCTTGTACCGGATTTCTTGGACCGGCGCTGGGCCCCCTTCCATGGCGCGCTGAGCGCGCGAGAGGGCGGCGCTGGAGGCGCCGCCAGGGGGGCCGAAAGCCAATCCAAAACATCCGCGCGGACCGTCGAAAACTTCGGTTCATGCCGGTATTTCTCGGCGGTGGACAAACCTCCCTTTAGCAAACCTCCCCTTAGTGAAAACGGCCTGGGACCGAAATCGACGGACCTGGACCCGCAAAAATGACGGCCGCAACGCCCTCTCGCGAACCGAAAAGGGCCAATTCCTTATTCGACGTGTCAGGGTAGGAGGTCTATCCACCTCCGAATTTCTGCTGCTCTTCGGCCACCTCTTCATGTGCTCCACCTGCAGGGTGCTCTGCTGCAGCTTCACGCGGCTCTGCTCGTGCTCATTGAGCGACTGGTTCAGCATGTTCTCGCTGTCCTCGACCTCCCGGTACAGGGCGCGCTCCTCCCCCCTCTGCTCCGGGTCGGTCATGCCGTTGGTGTCCCGCTTGAAGCGCTTGAACTGCTCGTGCAGCATGTCGCGCTTTGTCTCGGCCTCCTTCACGGAGCTCTTCAGCTGCTCGTGCTCCTCCTCTCTGCTCAGGAACTTGTGCACTATGTCCATGACGTCGGTCAGGCCTGTCACCTCGCGGATCTTCTGGAACCCGTCCTCTGTGGTCTGCGACCGCTCGACCTGCTCGAACGTGATCTTCTGCAGGCAGTTCCCTGCGAGCTTCTCGATCGCGTACAGCTTTCGTAGGCGCCCTGCCGACGCGTTGAACGCCTCGTTGGCGGCCTCCTGGGCGTTGTTGCGCCGCCACTCTTCGAATGCGTCGCGCTGGTTCTTGACCCTGCTTCTGGACTCCAGGACGGCCTTCATGTTTTTGATGGCGTCCTTGCGGATCCGGTCCTCGTATTTTTGTTGGGGAGGGAAGCGGTTTGAGCGGACCACATGCTTCAACATCCAGCGTCAAAACGCGGATACTTCCACGCATCGAAAGCCAGATTGAAAAAAAACATATTGACACGGCTGGAGAACGCGATTGTACTCGAAAGCCGCTTTCTTCCTCACCCAGCGGGTGGGACAGACGAGCGCTACGCCGAGGGAGAGGAGAAGTAGGAGAAGTAAGAGGAGGAGGAGGAGGAGGAGGAGGAGGAGGAGGAGGAGGAGGGAGGAGGAGGAGGAGGAGGAGGAGGAGGAGGAGGAGGAGGAGGAGGAGGAGGAGGAGGAGGGGGAGGGGGAGGAGGAGGAGGATGGATGGGGCAGCTTCAAAGGAAGCCCACGGCGCCGTCCAGCACGCTGGACGACGCCGAAGGCCACCAGAAGTTCGGTCTGTGCTCACGGCCCGCTCGGCCCGCGCGGCCCCCCGCGCGCGCCCGACGCCCGCGCCGGCGACGGCGATGCCGTGTCCGCCGCCTCCTCGCCGTCGTCTGCTGGCTGGTGGGGGCTGCAGGGTCCACCCAGCCGCGACGACGGCCCCGCGGGGCGCCGCACTGGCGGCACTTCCCCGCCCTCTGGCCACGCCGGCGGCGCCAGTGGCGCGTCCGCCTGCCCGCTCTGCCTCACGCCCGCGCCCGTCATGGCAGCAGGGGTGCTGGGGGCGCCGCCGCTGCCGCCGCTGGCCGACGGCCGGGCCGTCTTGCTGCGGATCCTTCGCGCTGCTGTCGCGGGCGCGCCGTCGGCCGCGGCCGCGGGCGACGCGGGCGTGCCGCAGGGCGCGGCCGCGCGGTTGGGGCTCGGCGAGCGGCCGCCACGTGGCCTTCGGCCCACGGCCTCGGCGGGGCCCTCCGAAGCCTGGCAGGGGCGGTTGCCGGAGGAGCGGTCCGGCAACCCAAGCTCGGCGGCGTCCGCGAGCGGCCCGGCAGCCCGCCCATCGGCCCCAGCGGCCTGCCCTCCAGCCTGGCTGGGGCGGTTGCCGGAGGAGCGGTCCGGCAACCCCAGGACGGCGGCGCCCGCCGAAAGCGCCTGGGCGCCTTGCCCCGCAGCCTGGCAGGGGCGGTTGCCAGAGGAGCGGCCCGGCAACCCAAGCTCGGCGGCGCCCGAGAGCGCCCTGGCAGCCCGCCCGTCGGCCCCGGCGGCCTGCCCTGCAGCCAGGCAGGGGCGGTTGCCGGCCTCCGGTGCAGCGGTGGGGCTCGGGCCTGCGTCGTCCTGTGGGCCTTCCCCCGCGAGACTGCGGCGAGCTGCTCCGAGGAGGTACGCGACCTTCTGACCGAAGGTACGCTCGTTCGCGGGCGGCTGGGCAGGTCTGGGGCCCAAGGCGGGGGGCCCGGCGCTGCGGGGGGGCGGGCTGGGCCCCCTGGTGCCTGTGGCTTCCGCGGGCGGGCGGCGGCGACCTGGCGCGCCAGTGGCCGCGTTGCAGTACAGGACAACGGCGCCCGAGGCCGGCGACGTGTAGTCGGGGAGCCATAGGCGGGGGCCGAGGGGGCCTCCTGCCGCTGCCGTCGGCGCGCCCGCCTGCGAGCCCTGCGTCTGCGCCTGCGTGGCGGGCCGCTGCCGCCGCGGGTGGCCGCTCCCAGGGGCCCTCTTGGCCTCCGTTGGGGCGGCCGCTCCACGGCCCGTGCCGTTGATGTCGGCGCCTCCCGGGGCTGAGGCCGCCCGCCTCCTCCGCCTGGTCGCGGCCGGGGGCCCACCTGGCTCGCTGACCTGCCTGCGCGAGGGCCGCTGCGCAGCCTGGATGGCCTGGCCGTGGAGGATTCCGATGACTGCCTCGATCTGGCCCGCCGTGGAATTGTCGGTGGCCTCCTCAGCGTGCTCCGGTGGGTCGGCGGGGGCCAGGGCGCCCGAGACGACGTAGGCGATGGTGGCGCTGACGCGGTTGGCCTGCGCGATCGCCTTGGGGGGGCCCTGGTGCGAGGGGTAGGCGCCCTGGGCGATCCTCTTCAGCGCCTCCGCGGTCTTGCGCGTCGTCGTGCCCTTGCACTCTGACCTCAAACCCATGCCCAGCGTGGTGCCGTAGGCTCCGCAGGTGCCGCAGAAGAAGAGGCTGTTGGCAGGCCACTCGTAGAGGCGGTGCGACTCGTGGGCGGCCCCTGTGCCCATGCAGACGGCGTTGCCTGGCTGGACCCTGCGGACGTGGTCGAACGTGGCCCAGTCCGCCGCCGTGGCGTCGCAAGGTGTGCGGGCCGCCTCCAGCAGCGAGGCGGAGGCGAAGACCTGGCGGCAGAGGAGGCACTTCCACTTGCCCTGGCCGAGCGCGACGATCTGGTGGGCGGAGGTGTCGATGGCGTCCTGGAGGGGCGACAGGCGGGCCACCTGCTCCGCCGCTGGCCTCTCCGTAAGCCATGGGTCACCTCCAGCGGCGCCCAGCAAGGCCTGTCTGGCCCTGCGTCTGACCTGCGACGCGATGACGTCCCAGCGGTCCGCGTGGGGGGCGCTCGCGCTGGCGCCGCTCGCGGCGAAAACGGCCCCGAGGTAGGCGAGCCTGTCGGCGCAGCAGTTACCCGTGGCGAGGAAGTTCGAGACGATCGGTTCGCCGTCGTCCTCCTGGTGCGAGGGGGTCCAGGAGACCGTGACCCTCCTGGTGGGCTTCGCCGCCAACGCCCTGCCGATTCGCGCCCAGAGGTCGCTGTTCTTGCCCGCGCCGAGGTGCAGCCAGCGCTGCCGCTGCCACGCGTTGAGCAACGGCATGTGGTCGGTCACGTAGTCGATGTCCGCGTCGAGGTGCTCGAGGGCGAGGACGAAGGCGTAAATCTCCCCTCGCGGGACCGTCTGCCGCCGCCCAGGGAGGGTGGCTATCGCGCCCGCCTCTAGCTGCCAGGACAAGCCGTGGTTCGCCAGGATGGCCAGTCCGATGCCGACCCTTCGCCCGCGGGGTCCGTGCCGTGCTTGCCGCCCGAGGCGTCGCCGAAGAGGATCACGGGGCCCGCGGTGCCGATAGGCCAGGGGGCCCCAACCTGCACGTAGACCTCCTCATGGTCCAGCGGCGGGGGCAGCGTGGTGTTGGCTCTGGGGTTGATGCCGCGGAGCCACAGAGCGGGGCACTGGTCCATGCCGTTGAGCGCCTGGGGGATGAGGTGGGCCGTCTGGTCGTAGGCAGGCTTCCCCGCGTTGCATGGGCAGCGCCAGATGCGGTGTTCGAGGGTCTCCGCCTCGCCGAAGCACCGCTGGCACAGCGAGGGGCCCTGGTAGCCAGCGTCAATCTGCCGCTGCCTCGGCCACTGCCCCCCGACCGCGACGAGGTAGTTGAGAGCCCACTCCTGCCAGTGCCCTTGCTTGGCGCAGTGGTCGAGCTCCCGCTTGATCTGGGCGACGTCTCCTCGATCGCCGAGGCCTCCTCCGTGGGCGTGATTGGCCGCGCGGCGCCATCGGATCAGGTCGAGGTCCTCGGTGAGGTCGTCCAGCAGCTCGGAATACTCGTGGAAGTCAACCTGGAGCCGTCCATGGTGGTCGGCGAGGGGGAACGTCCACTCCTCGACGCCGTCGGCCACAGGCCTCTTCCAGGAGCCAGGCCCCGTGGGGCTCCAGCCTGCGTCGAGCAGCGTGGCGATGATGGCGGCCACGGGGCCGTGGACCTTCCGCCAACGCCCCCCCTTTGCTCGGAGGAGGCGGTGGTGCACGTGGGGCCAGATGCGCTGGGCCCTCCTGTGGAGCTCGGGCCGCGCCAGCCACTGGGTAAGCCACTCGTTGACCAGCTGGGTGCGCAGCTTGAGGGCCGGGTCCTTCAGGTGGTAGAGGATGGCCATGGCGGTGTCCAGGCAGCGACCAGGCCCCGCACCCGCCGCCGCAGCCGCCGCGGCACGTCGGAGCTGGATGAGCCGCGAGGGGGCGACGCCCCAGACCTCGTGGCCGTAGACCGCCTGGGGTTGGACGCCGGTAGCGTGGAGGCTGGCGCCCAGCTTGCCAAGCCGAGCGGCAGCGCGGCGGAGGCGCAGCACGCGCTTCGCACGGAGGGCGGCCGTCGCGTGCCGCGCTCGTGCCCTGCGCTGGGCACGCCTCTTGCCGGTGACGACATCCACTCCGAGGTCGACCATGTGGTTGGCGCCGTGGCCAGGGACACCGTGCTGCCGCATGCGCTGGGTTATGTTCTTGCGCAAGCTCGCCGTCGAAGCTACCAACGTGGTCTTGGGGGAGACCGTGAGCCGGCTGGCGGCGCACTGCTGGGCGAGTGCTGCGCTGGCCGTGTCCAGGGAATCCGTGACGACCTCCTTGGTCCCCTCGGCCCTCCAGACCGTGTCGTCGATGCAGGACCAGATCGTGGCGGTCTCTGCCTGGGCCTGGGCAGCCTGCAGGATGGGGCACAGGGGGATCTTGCCAAACCTAGTGCCGTTGGTCGAGCCCGCGACGATGGACTGGCTGGCGAAGATGGGCGGCCCCACCCAATCGCCCCCCTTGAGGTAGCGCGGGGCCAGGAATGCCTCCACCTCCAGGACGAGGACCGTGGGGGAGAAACCGAGGGCGACCGCGCGCTCGATGAGCCATGCGAGGTCGAGCGAGTCGAAGAACTTCGCGATGTCGGCGTAGAGGGAGGCGTGGTGGATGCCCATGTCCTGAGCGGTCTCGTCCAGGGTGGCCCTGTAGAGGGCGGCGCGCAGGGCCGAGGAGCCCCTGATGGCCGTGTCCCAGTGGTCCTCGAAGGCCAGGGTCCACTGGTCCACCACGCTGCTGCGGGCGCGCGCCCAGACGCGGACGGGCATGGGGAGCAGCCCAAGGACGCGGTCGCCCCCCGCGGGCTTGCCCGCGACCGCGCCCAGGGTGCCGTTGAGCTGGGGCGGCCACATGCAGTGCTCCTCGGCCTTCTGGAGGATGGCGAGGACCTGTTCCTTAGCGCAATCGGGGAGGCGCTCTATGTCAAGAGGGCAGAGCCTGTCGACACCCTGGGCCTTCCGGGGCCCCAGCTTGCCCGTCGCCGCGCTGAGGCCGTCCATCGTGAGCGCCGGAAGGTCCTCCTCCGCAGCCAGCTTGCGCAGTCCTGCGAGAGAGCCTCGGGGATGGCGCGCTGCCGTGGGGCTGGGGCCGTCCAGACCTTCGCCCACGTAGCCGACTTGGCCTTCATGACGGCGACAGGGTCCGCGAGCATGGCGTTGCCCGCACTGTACTCCAAGCGCTCCGCGTCGGCGTCCTTGGTCCAGCGGTGGAGCTGCCCCATCGACGCCTTTGCAGCCCAGGCGGCAAAACTTTGCCTCCCCTCCTGGAGCGCCCGACGCGCGGCGTCGCCCGCCAGGTCCTGCGCGAGGTGCCGCAGGGTGTTGTTTTCGTGCCTGGGCCGCCCAGGGACCGCCTGCGCCTTGTCGGTGTACGCCTTGAGCTGGTCCGTGCGCTTGGTGGCCGAGAGCTTCCCGATGTCCCCGAGGGTGGAGCGGTGGAGGTCCAGGCGCCACTGCAGCTGTCTCGAATCCTTGCCGCTGGCCTCGAGCGCGAGGAGGGCCGTGAGGTTGGCGTGGTGCGTGGCCCAGGCGTCGGCCTCGGGGTGGCGAAGGTGGGCTCGCCCAGGATTGGCCGCCGTTTGCCTCCAGGTGACGCCGGAACCCCGGGCGCGACCCTGCCGCGCAGACCAGTTCGCCGCGTCAGTGCCCTCATGCGCGAGGATGGCCGCCTCCACCTGCGCGACCCAGGCGCCGTAGAGCTCGGCGAGACGCTCGGCCTCGGCCACCCTCGGGTCGAGGAAGGGGTGCTGCAGGAGGGCGGGGTTGACCTGGCCTGCTCGGGACCGGCAGGCCGCTGCACTGCGCCAGGTGGCGGAGGGGACCTTGAAGGGGGCGCTCGGGGCTGCGTCACCTGCGTCTTGGCGCGGCCGCAGCGCTGGGGGCACTGCCGAAGCCGCTGGGTTGGCGTCCGGCCGCGGCCGGGCCGCCGCCGGGGCTGTCAAGGGGCCCGCCGCTCTCCGGCCGCGGCCAGCGGCCCCCGCAAGCGGGGCGGACGGGTCCCCTGGACTGCCGCCGGAGCCCCCCGGGCCGCCTCCGGGGCCGCCGCCAGGGCCTCCGGGGCCGCCGCCAGGGCCCCCGGGGCCGCCTCTGACAGCAGCCGAAGGGAGGTGACAGGGAGGAGGAGGAGGAGGAGGAGGAGGAGGAGGAGGAGGAGGAGGAGGAGGAGGAGGAGAAGGAGGATGATGAGGAAAAGGTCCTCGTACTCAATGACCTGCTCGACCTTCTCGAGCTCCTGCGCGACCTGCGCGCTCTTGCACACGACCCGCTCCTGCAGCGCTACCTTGCGGGACGTCTCCGCGTGTTTTCTCCCGAGATGGCTCTCCATCACGAGCAGCTTCTCCTTCAGGAGGGACTGCTCCTTCGATATCCTGCCTGCCATGTGAGTGTACACCTTCTGAGTCTCCTTAGCCTTCGAGATGCTCTCGTTCAGCTCCTCTGGCACGGAACAAAAACGGGTCATGACGGAAACGTGTCCTTGACCCTGGAGCTGCCCCTAAAATCAGATTCTCATCCTGCGCCGATTTTTGGACCCCCCCCCGTGAAAGAAATATTGCAACGTTTGCAGGTCGTGTCGAAGAATCGTCCAGGGCACTTCCCTTGGGACGGTTGCTCAGCCCCCCAGAGGTGAGAAAATAGCTTGGCAAAGGACCCAACCATAAGCAATGATACGTACTGCCGTTGTGAATACCATCTTCGGTGGATCCTCCTATGCGGCCACGAACCGTTTGAGGGGTGTGCCGAAATTGCGAGGTGGCGGCAGGCGGCCTTTTCCACTGGGGCTTTCGGTGGAGCTCCCTATGGGGCCACGAAGCGTGCGAATGGTGTGCAGACATGGGGCGGCACCGACATGCGGACCCTGCTGCTGCGGCCTTCGGTGGTGCCGCCTCAGGCCCCGAAACGTGCGAGAAGGGTGCGCCAAAATGAGGGATGGAACCGCATGCGGGCGCTGTCACTGGGGCCTCAGGTGGAACACCCTGTGGGGCCACGGAACGCGTGCGGGGTTCGCCAACATGGGGGGGCGGAACCGCATGCGAACGCAGGCACTGGGGCCTTCGGTGGAGCTCCCTATGCGGCCACGAAACGTGTGACGGGTGTGCCGAAATTGCGCGGTGGCGGCATGCGGGCCCTGCCACTGGGGCCTTCGGTGGAGCTCCCTATGGGGCTACGAAGCGTGTGAGGGGTGTGCTGAATCGTTGCCGATGGTGATGGCGATGGCGATGCTCGTTGCGGTAATGAAGCTGCTAAAGATGATGGCGATGATGATGCCGATGATGACGACGATGACGATGCCGATGATGATGATGCTGATGCTGCTGATGATGGAGGTGGTGTCGTCGATGGTGATGATGACGACGATAATGATGATGACGATGATGGTGATGATGACGTCGATGATGACGATGATGGCGACGACGACGACGTGCGGAGGGCAGAAGCAGGAATTGGAGGAGGGATGAGGGGGAGAAGGAGGAAGGAACGCGGGGCGCGGGTCTCTTCAAAACCAAGACCCAACACCCTAGGATGGCTGGGAGCTATGAAAGACCAAAGGCGACGAACACAAGCAAGTCTGCGATTAAAGTTGCTCCGCTTTTCCAAGGCAGTGCATGGCCCGTAGGGGGGGGGGGGGCCTGGGGGCCAAACGCGACAAAACACGTCAGGGCCCGCTCCCATCGGGGTCTTCTCTCTCTCTCTCTCTCTATATATATAGAGAGAGATATACACACATATACATACCTCTATAGTCTAGCTTTAAATTATGAACATATTAACGTGTTCATGGATATATATATATATATATATATATATATGTGAATACGTGTACATATATATATATATATATGAATATGATAGATCTGTATACGAACTTAGTTGTGCACGCCGCCTCTTTCTCAGGCGGGCCCGGCAGCGATATGTCTCGTGGTGACAGACCCGTGACCCGAGCAAGACCTCGCCGCAAAACGGGACCACACGACCCAAGAACCCGGAAGAACCCGGACCGGCCTCCGAGAAACGCAACTCCTGCAACGGTGCCAAGGGAGTCAAAGGCACGGCAGGCGGGCTCCTGGGAGGCTTGAGCCCAGACCGTGAAGGACAGAAAAAGTGAAGGACGAGTGGGGAGCGCATTCACTCTCGTGAGCGAGCAACGACATATGTACATGTACGCCCTCCGCGATCTTGAGTGCACGAACGTCCTCGTTCAAACGCCCTCCAGGGGAAGCTAACCGCGTACGTGTACATATGTTGCTGGCCTCTGAGCTCGGCCTTCCAGACAAGAGATCTGTTCCAAGCTATAACGGTACCAAGGTGATCTACGAAGCTTTGCACGCCGACTATTTTTCATCCAGGCCGGCAGTGATGTGCCGTGGTGACAGACCTGTGCCGAAGACCGGAGCACGCGATTCAAGAAACCTGAGAATTCGAGACGGGTCTCAGAGAACTTGCACTCCCGACTTGCCCTAAACTAGAGGCATCGGATCCAAGGTTACAGTAGCCATATGAATTTCTAGTGCGGCCAATGCGTTGTAAAACTATTGGCGAGAACGTCACACAAACCTTTGGGATAAGTCTCGGTTATTGAAGTCCTAAAAACACCTTTGGCTTTTCTAGACAGCTCAACGTGGGGGTTGTGATTGTACTGTAACTACAGATGCCGCGGCAAGTGTACAGACGAGACCACCTAGACAAATCAACATGCACGCTAATGGTTTTGGTTCGCTTACGCCACGGCATGCCAAAACCGAAGAAATCAGTTCGAATGGCTCGCACAGGTCTACGGCGGCATGCGGAAGCCAGAGGCGCAGTCAGATCCTGAGCCCAAACAGTTAAACACAGAAAAAGTGAAGGACAAGCGGCGAACGCATTCACTCTCGGCCTTCCTGAAAAGATCTATGTTCAAAGCTAGAACGATACCAATATTATCTACAAACATAATAAATACTACACAAATCTATATGTATTAAATATGAGTATGCATATGTATAAGTGTATGTGTGTGCATGTCTTTGTTCCCCCCCAGCACCCATCCATTTTGCATCGGCCTTTTGGCTCTTCAATTGCGCACGTACTGATCATTCACCTTCTTGCCATCCGTGCCTGCTCATCCATCTTTCCGATTCGTACTCGCGCTGTAATCTAAATGTAATCAGCTGGATCTGGGATCTGCGCAATTCGAAATATATTCAAATTCGACCCCACTGGGAATCACATTGGAATCAGCTGGATCTGGGATCCGCGCTGCCCCAGTTAGATTGTCATCATGTCCCAATAAGAAAATAATCCGAATCAGCTGGATCTGGCATCTGCTCAATGCCAAATCGGTTTTACTACGATGCGATAACAATCCACTTGGAATCAGCTGGACCTGGGGTCCGCTTAATTCGAATTAGACTATAATACGACTCTTATAGGAATCCAAGCGGAAAGACCTGTATCTGGGTTCTGCGCCATTCCAACTCGATTCTTAGTCGATCCCAATAGGAATACACTTGCAATCAACTAGATCTGGCGTCTGCTCATATCCAATCAGATTCGAATTAGATTTCACTCGGAATTGCAATTGGAATCAGCCGGATCTGTGATCTGCTCAATTCACATTGAGCTCTACTTGAATCCCGATAGGACTCAAATTCGAAGCAGCTGGATCTGGGACCTTCTCCATTTCAATTGGTTTCCAAGGGACAGCTGGAATCAGCAAGGCCTGACTTCAAAATCGATCTGAAGAGGAATCTCACTTGAACCCTCTGGATCTAGGGCCTGCGCAATGTTATTCGGTTCGAAATAGATTTCAACAATAATACCAAAGAATGACCCCGATCATAATCTTTTGAGGGCTATAGGGCTATAGGGTCATGCGTCTATAGGGCTATACGGCTATAGGGCTTTGGGGCTATTTGGCTATAGGCCTATAGGGCTGTCGAGCCATAGGACTGTAAGCTATAGGGCTATAGGGCTACAAGGCTACTGGGCACCCAGGCACCTGGGCACCCGGATGTGCCGCCGAAATCGGCGCCACCCCCTCACCTAACCATATGAATCCGCTAGAACCCCATTGGGGAATAATCAAATTGGAATCCGCGGGATCTGAGATCCGTTCCGCCCGAATTAGATTCAAATTAAATCCCAATCGGACTCTAATTGGAGCCAACTGGATCTGGGACCCGCTCAACCGGAATTAGCTTCTAATTCGAATTCATAAGGGATCTACTTGAAACCAGCTAGATATGGGATCTGCCGCATTTCAATTACATGCTAGGTGTATCCCATTAGGGAACCAACTTGAATCAGCTGGATTCGGGATCTGCGCGATGTATGTTCGGTTCTACTAGGTTCCAATGCGAATACAATTTGGATCAACTGAATCTGAGATGCAAATCAAAACGTAAGTTTTCCGCACCCCTGACATCGCACACCTTGCGGTTTCATGTGGGATGTTGGGATTTCTGGGATGGGAAGTGAGGAACCAATGTGATTTCATTGGTATTGTTAGGATTTGGGGGTTCTGGGGGTCGGAACTCCTGGGAGGGCTCCTGGGCTTCATTTTCGCTCGAGGGGAGCAAATCCCCCAAATTCAAACATTCAGCCTGGCGAAGGACCCAAGCATACGCAGTTGTGAGTAACGCAGTTGTGAACAGTATCTTCGGTGGAGCTCCCTATGGGGCCACGCAACGTGGGAGGGGTGTACCGAAGCTTGGGGGGACGCATGTGCACCCTGCCACTGGGGCCTTCGGTGGAGCTCCCTATGGGGCCACGAACCGTGGGAGGGATTTGCCGAAATTGGCGGCGGGGACATGCGGACCCTGCCACTGGGGCCTTCGGTGTGGCTCCCTATGGGGCCACGAACCGTGTGAGGGGTGTGCAGACATGGAGCGGCGGCGCCATGCGGACCCTGCCACTGGAGCCTTCGGTGGATCCCCCTATGGGGCCACGCACCGTGTCAAAAATGTGCCGACATGAGGCGGGGGCGCAATCCGGACCCTGCCACAGGGGCATTCGGTTGGGCTCCCTATGAGGCCACGAAACGTGTGAGGTGTGTGCCGAAATGCGGCGGTGGGGCCATCCGAACCCTGCCACTGGGGCCTTCGGTGGAAGTCCCTATGGGGCCACGAATCGTGCGAGGAAAATGCCGAAATGGGGCGGCGGCGCCACGCGGACCCTTCGGTGGGGCTCCCTATGGGGCCACCAACCGTGTGAGGAGTGTGCCGAAATGGGGCAGCGGCGCCATGCGGACCCTGCCACTGGGGCCTTCGGTGGAGTTCCCTATGGAACCACGAACTGTGTAAGGGGTGTGCCGAAATGTGGCGGCGGCGCCATGCGCACCCTGCCACTGGGGACTTCGGTGGAGCTCCCTATGGGGCCACGCACTGTGTGAGGGATTTGCCGAAAGAGGGGGGCAGCGTCATGCGGACCCTGCCACTCGAGCCTTCGGTGGAGCTC